ATACTTTTTTTATTTGTGCATATGTGTGGGCTTAATTTGGTCTTCTTTGGGTTTAATTTTGTGTTTTAGAAGGCAAATTATATATTAAAGATGTAGTTTATCTTAATAAATTTATTAAAATATCTTTAATAAAATTATTTTTTTTATTAAAAATATTTTAATAAATTTATAAGATATATTATACTTTTAATAAACTTTCTAACTTGTAAAACATGAAACCCAAAGTTCATTCACTTTTTTTTTTTCTTTTGATCATCAACAATAATTACCATACAAAAAGGAAAAAACCAAAAATCAGTTTTTGCAAATTCTTCTGCAGCTGCATTGCATGCTTTTCCCAAAAATAAAATATACTAAATATATAAAATAAAGCTTTTCCAAAAAGAAAAAAAAAATTCTGGAACTTAATTCCTAACTATATGTTTCTCTACTACTAATATTTTTTTAGAAAGATGATTAGAAATATCTGTATGTTTTGGCCCCTTGTGGGTGTTGTCATGTACTTTATTTATTTATTTTTAAAAATCAACATGTTGCGTGAGGACTGATTTTGTTCATTGTTTATTAGATTTTCTTCTATCTTGCCTGCAAGGAAATGGGAATGCACTAAATAAACTAATAAACATCATGATACTTTCCTGTTAGATGCTTTCTCCTGTTGCTGAATATATAAAAAAGGTTGTGCCCTTATGGTTTGTATCAGATGCTTTCTCCTTAGAAATGCCGGAGCCAACAATTCAAGTTCTTTTATTGTTACTCCTTTTAGTACTTCTGTTACTTCACTCTGCTTCTTCTTCTGCTGAAGATTTCAGATTCACCCTTGAAAATGAAGATGGAGATGTCAAAAGATACCATTTTCCAGATAATTTCCTCTTTTGTACAGCCACATTTGCATATCAGCCATGTTGTTTCATTTCCAAGAAAATAGATTATTTCTTTTCTGCATATCTGCAACTGTTTGTTTTTCCTTTTTCCTTGTTAAATTCCCTTCTGGGGTTTTGATAAGGTTGAAGGAGGATACCTTGAAGATGGTAAAGGGCTTAGCAATTGGGATGTTTTTAGTCGTATTCCAGGTAAGCAGAAAATTGCTGATTGCAGCAAAAGATCATGATAATATGTTTAACTTCTCACCATTTTGAGGTTTAAATTTTTCAGGAAAGATTAAAAATGGTGATACTGGAGATGTGGCAGATGATCATTACCATCTTTTCATGGTACTGCTTCAAACCCATCTTTCTTATTTAAGATGAGAAGCTAAAGATATGGTTTTAACCTCTCTTTTTCTTTTTTCTTTTTTTTTTTTCTCTGTTGAATTTATTCTTACAGGAAGACATCAATCTCTTGCATTCTCTTGGGGTAAATGCCTATCGATTCTCCATTTCATGGTTCAGAATTCTTCCTAGTGTGTCCTTTAAATTAGATGAATGATAATCTGGATTATAGTTAATTATGGTTAATAAGGGTCCTAATTTTTTATGAAATAACAGGAGGAAGATTTGGTGAAGTTAATCCTACTGGAATCAAGTTCTATAACAATATCATAGATAATCTCTTGCTCAGGAGTAGGATTTTCTTTAGCTTGCAGAGGATTTTTTTTTTTTTTTTAAATATAAATAAATGTTGTTTGTTGAGACTTATAATTGACCAAATATTAATGCATAAATGTAGGAATTGAGCCTTTCGTGACAATATACCATCATGATTTTCCACAAGAACTGGAAGACAGATATGGGTCTTGGCTCAGTCCTGTAAAGCAGTGATCTCCCCTCTCATTTTGAAATTTCTCCATACGTCATCCTACTGCTTTCAGTAATGCTTTGTTGAATTCTTTGTTCTTTTCAACAATTTCTATTTCTATGTAGTATTCCTGTCCTTTTAAGGCAGTTTCCTGTTCTCAAGTTGTCTAATTGTGGTGTTCTTGTAGGGAAGATTATGTCCATTTTGCTGAAACTTGTTTTGAGAGCTTTGGTGACCGGATAGAGTACTGGACAACATGCACTTAATGAACTTAATCTGCTAACAGAGGTGGCCTACATCAGACGAACATATCCACCTGCTCATTGTTCACCGCCTTTTGGAAATTGCTCAGTTGGGAATTCTGACATAGAGCCTCTAGTTGTTTTGCACAACATGTTACTGTCTCATGCCAAGGCTGTTAAGCTATACAGGGAACGCTTTCAGGTAAGCAAAATGATAACCGAGAAAACAACATCTGATTCATATGTTGCTTAGTGAACCTCCTAGCACTGAAGTTTAAGTCTGTTGATGCAGCCAAAACAGGGCGGTGCAATAGGAATAATCACAAGCTCACATATGTATGAGCCATTAACAGATGATGAACTGAATCAACAAGCTGCAAATAGGGCCCTGGATTTTTACAACAGGATGGTGAGTTATTTTAATCAGACTACCACAGCACCAAAATGCTTCTGTTTTATGTAGTGCATTTTCTGTTATGTTTTTAAGCATGTTAATATCACATTTTGTCCCTGAATGCAACATTAATATTTTTCCTGTCCTTTATTTGTCTGCGTCTTGAGGCTGCAGCATCCGGCAAAAGATTTGTTCTTGACCACACAATAAAGATGCAGCTATCAATTATTGTCGGCTAACTTTTATATGAATTTTATAAAAGAAATGGACTGGCAATTGAGTTAGATACGCTTTCATTTTCTTTGAAC